TATTAGAATGTGTACTGTACATCACTGCTACGGAAACAAAGACGACGCAGACTCACAGTTTTTTCTGGTCTCTCATGTTTGTGTGTGACGGAGCAGCGAGCGTGTCTCTGAGATGACGGACTACAGTCACCTGGCCGTGTTGCGGAGCTGTGGGGGGAGTCACACCGTCACCTCGGCCAGCCAGCGGCGCACCAACCTGCAGACCAACAAGCACCCCCCCCAGGCAGAGGTAGACTGCGTCATTCAGGTGGGACACAGCAAAGGTTATCCACATATTTATTCTGGACTTTTAGCTTACTACTAGTGTACTTGTCAGCGGTGTGAACCTGGAAATGTTGAGTACCCCAAAGTGTTATGATAGAAATGTAAAGTACGGGTCCCCAGCACATAGAAACTGCCAGATGCTTACTTGCATATGTTGGGCAATTTGCACAATTGGCATAAGTTGCATTAATTAGCATATGCATGCAGACAATAGCTACAAAATGGCTAGGGCGATTTAAACAATTCAGGTTTGTTTTTGGAGGATATTGAGGATGTTCAGCCCAACGGGAGTCCAAAGATGGGCACTTTCTGGTTAAAACTGCCATTTTTTTATCCTGAAAATGTCAGAAATAGATTCAAAATCATCAATGTTTGAATAGAATGTTGAAGTTCTGAACATTGTTATAGAGATGTGCTTTTTTTCTGGTTAGTCAGAGGAAGTTGATATCGTCGGACTGGATGGGCATATTTACAAGGGCCGCCTGAACGCACCTTCCATCAGAAATACAGAAACAAAACTACCTACAATCCCCGCCAAGGACGGTAAGTTGATTCAATTGAATTATGAACACATGCTGTTTCTATATTATTATTTTTGGTTTTATTGGTATTATCATTATAATAATTATTAGTATTATTGTTGTTGTTATTATTATAATTCTGTGTGTGACTGGCGAAGCCACACACAGAATAGTATTCGAAATCCATTTGAACAGAGCTCAAAAACACCCCACTTTGACCCCATACAGATTACGCATACTTTAACATAGAACAAAAATTACAAGTTTAAACAGTTCTCGAGACTATGGACTTTATTAGACTAATTAGATATTTTGTAGCTAGCACGGTTCTCACGTAGTCGCAGCTTACGTTTGTGAACATTTCACACTGTT